CTATGATTCTGTGATTCTTTTCCTTTTACAAGGCATTTTCTCCTACCGTCACTACATATCTTCTCATTTCCTTTAGTCTATTCAACTCACTCTCTCAGCAGTTTTGTGGTTTCCTCAGTTGAAGAGAAAAACCAGAAACGGCAGAAAGACACCTACTGCACTTTGGTTGCAGGTACTAACATTTCCATGTGCACGTCACCGCATTCGCGCAGGTATGTGCGTGCTTACTTTTGAGTTGTTTTCTCAGACACTGTTAGAGATTCTCAGTGGGCACCCCACCGCAGAGGTAGGCAGGTGTTTTCAACAACTTAATTCAAGTAAACAAAAATACATTCTGATTACAGAAAGGTGTTTGAAACAAAAGGGGAAAGTGCGAAAAGCCAGGTTAATAGCATGAACGCAGACATAGAGAGCAGTGTGAGCCCACAATGGATGTGCAGCACTTCAGTCAGTAGCTTAAACACGTCATAGGAAAACGCAACGTTCGTTACCAACAAAGGACTGTAAATAATTTGTTGCTTCAGCTGTTAAGACTTTGGTTTTCTTCTGGTTCTGCCCTTTCAATTCCTCTATCCCCTCCCACATACTGCTATTTTTATATATAGCCAACACCACCAGATGTCACTTTGTCACCTGCCACCAATACACCGTCACCCTTTTCTGCTGAGGTTTTTGCTACTTCTCATCTTTAGGTTATATCTAAGCTTTTTAGCATTAGGAAAGCTAGGAAGAGGAGAAAGAGGTGTTAAAAAACAAAGTCTGAACTAAGACTCCATAAATGTAAACAGATCTTTCATGCCATTTTTCGTTTACATGATAAAGTAAGCTAAGTAAGTTAAGGGAAGCTAAACCACATAGGCTGATCTCCCTTCTCAGAAAGAGTTAAATTTAAAATACAATTACTGAAAAGGATACCATTACACTGCTAAGGGCCAGGATTTTGCATGTTTTTAGCAATAGGAAACCTGTGTCATTAAAGGACTGATAGGGTATGTGGAATGTGGAAAAGGTGATTTTGTTCTTTTCTTCTTTTTGCACTTTATCACGTGACTCCGGTATCCCAGGGAACAGTGCCTGTCAGAATGATATGTATCACTGAGAAAAAATGAAACAAACAGAAAAAAGAAAAATACACAAGTCTGCAGATGGAAAGAGGAATTAGGGAAACACCTCTGGGCTGCAGAGGGATACATGAATAAAAACCCACACAAGACACCTTTTTCAAATACTTATCCAATTACCAATCCATAAATAGCCAAACAAACGGCCCACTGGCTCAACATGTAAAAATAATTCATTAAGACAAAGATGCTTGAAGGGACAGGTTTATTACATCTCCCACACCTTCTGGTTTCTGAGCCGGTGACCAAAGCAATATTGAAAACCTTAGTCCAGAAAACATTTACAGCAAATTTAGTGTCAGGTCCTGCAATGAAAAACACAATGTATTTGTGCTGTTGACTTAAACACTATTTGGTTCTCCTCCCTTCTCACACCCCGGGTGATCCTCTAACCTTGCAATGGCATTTTCCGTACAGTAATGCTTAAAAAACTCCACTAAACACAATACGATCCTAAATAATAATCCATTTTTAATTACATGGCATAGAATATCTTGCAAACAAAAGATACCCGTTAAGATTTACTGACAGGTACTGTATTTTTTGGCAACTCTGGAACAAACCAGAAGAAAAAACGAAGAATTATTCTATAACCATGAGGGAAAGAAACATCCATCTAAATGTAGAGGATTCATATGGCAAAACTTAAGCTAAAGAAAAAATCCACGCTTACAGCAGATTTTTTTTTTTTTAATTCTTAGTGCAAGAAACATAACCAAGTTAATCACAGAATCAGTACTAATTAAGAATATGGAAAATTCTCCTATACAGAGGTAGAGTCCAGTGCACAAGGCTAAAACGATATTCAATAGTCTAAACAAGACTGAGCCAGGTTTTACGGAATCCACTTGTTAAAGTATCAGACTGTATGTACATACATACAATAAATAGACTATACAATCTTTAAAGTAGTTTAATAAACTTCACAAAAATTATAGTAGATGCATTGAGATCTTTACATAATCCAAAGTTCATATCTCCATCACCCAGAAATGGATAAAACCAATATTCCTGATAACAAGTTAAATGGAAAATAGTTTAGCAAAGTGTTGATAAATCAAAGTATTTTATGTATTTTAAAGCCTAAATTTATGCTTATAAAGGATGAATTTCAATGCTCTGAAAATGTTCCTTTTGATACGATCTGTAAAGAGGTTTCAAATGTAGTAACTTGCATTTGTATTGTTCTAAATACTTTTCCTTACATTCCATGTTCAAGGGAAAACCAGACTTGGGATACTCACAGTTCTGATGCATTGGCACAACAAGAAGTGATGAGAATTAGATTATTTTCAGGGCCCAAAGGACATCAGAAGAATTTATGGACAAAACCTTCATGTCTCACACTACACAAATCACATTAGAAAGTTAACAGAAAACCGTTTGGCATTACTACTTCAATCCTGACGGCGCCTCTCTGCCCGGAGGCATCCGATGAGCACTGCACAGGACAAGTGAGCATCTCTGGGCCCCCACGTTTACTACAAGCCCATAGGGCTTAATAAAACAAATACGGAATCTTGATGGTTTACCACAGTAGTGCATAATTCAGGGATGTCTGTTGTCATTCATTTCACTGATAGTCACAAAGAAAGGATTTCAGGGAAGTGTGAGTTTTCAGCTGTATCCTTCTAAACAGTGAAGAAAAAAAAAAGGGTGTGCGTCTGTGGACTCACCCTGGGGTGTTATAAAGCCAATATGCTTATACTGACAAGTTACTTTGTATAAAAGGTCATTACAAATTCTAGAAGGCAACAGCCACAGTAAGAGGGAACTAGTAACAGCAACAGAAGAGCTTAATTATGAGTTGAAAATTATGTTCACAGTTTGGTTACTTTTAATTTCTGTAAGCACCTACACTGAAAAACACAAGGGTTTGTATTTGAGCTTCAAAATCCAATCTACTTGTGACAAATACCTTGTTAAGATTTCCATTCTGCTCTCCTACAGGCCTTCCCGCTGGAGCAAATTTTTAAATTATTTTTTATTTTATACAAACAGGCTCACTTTGATTTAAAGTAAACATATAAAAATTGAGAATATTGCTTGCAACAATGGACCTGGAGGTGAAGGAATGAACTAGTCAGGAAATACAAAAAGAAAAAAAAAAAAACTCACACAACAATATCTCTCAAAATGCATTCTGCTAAACTTCTAATGCTATGAAAATCTGCAAAAAGGATCACAAGATCTGTTGCAAATTTCAGAAATTTGGCCCAAGTCTTATCATCATCATCTGAATACTTTAATAACTGTATCTGTATATTAAGAAAAAATAAATGATTCCAAGAACTCAGGAAGGCACACGCACCCAAGTATACTATAAATAAAACACATCATGAAATTACGAAGATCTTCTGATCCCTGTACACACTTTTGGTTCAGCACTATGGTCAAGTTCTCTCTTTTGAAATACAATAAAAGGCATACAAGAAATATAACATATGCATAATAATTAAGAAGAATAATGCTAATAAGACAGCTTACAGAGAAAAGTGCAGTGAAAAAACCCAACACTATTTATTCAGGGGCTTGTGCTACTGTAAATACAACCTTCGTATTTGCTGCTGTCCAAGGGGAAGAATTTATCCTGGGAAGCAGCAATGAGGAATGCAAAACAACAACAACAACAAAAAAAAAAACAAACAAGAGGTGTTAAGAGAAACCTTTAGGATGGAACTCTCCCGACTTCATTCCTCCAGTGCACAGTCAGCTGACTCCATGGTTTGTTTTCATGCTGCCATTTCTCTTCATGTGTACAGCATGTTAGAAAATGGCACAATTCTTAAATATTTTTCTGCCTCTACTTCATGTTTTGTTTCTTCTTCCAAGCACCTGATTTGCTGTTTTTCTCATCAAAAGGGTAAAGCTGTTAGCGAAAGCGAGAAAAAATTGTTGTCCATCTTCTCTCCTGAACACTGATTTCTCCATTTCTCCTTCCACTGGGCATTTTACTCGTGTGCTACACAATGGGGAGGCACTGTAAAGGCAGCTTGACAGATTTAAAAATAAAAAAAAAATCACAAGTCTTTTTTCTTTATCCCCCCGCCCCCAGCCCACCCCGAAAAAATGGATGGATGAAACAGTACGTCCGTAGGAATATTCCAGTCTCCTCTGTTAGGAGATAATAGCAGGGGACCATCTAACCACAGTCAGATTGTCAGCACTGACCGACCGTTTCTTCGCGGCTTTCCTGAAGTCCTTGTATTTATCTTCACACAAGCGGGAAATGGCCTGTAAGACAACGCATGGAAGAACCTCAATTGCGTTGACCATGGCTGTACAGGTAAAAACAAAACTAGATGCAGATTTCTACATACAGGCAGAATTACCAAAACTCACTTTGTTAAGCAAAACACGTGAAGAGTTCTCCCCAAATCCTCCTCCTCATTAATCTTGGATGAAAGAAACTCACTGGAATTGCACTGCCCCCCACAGCTGCTTCTGAAGGACCCAGTGACTATATTCCAAGCCTTTTCTTTACAGGTGAACTGTCACAAATCTCATCGAGGCAGCTGACTATGCCTACCCACTGCTATATGGCAACTCACATCTAGAACTTCATCAGTGCAGAATTGTGGAAAACTTACTTATGATTTCTGTAATCGTTTTCTTATATTTGGAGAATTTATAAAGAGGAAGGCTCTGAATTGTTTTATTTCCTGAAAAGTCTTGTAGCAGTTATCTTTTTCTGTACTGATAAATGGTCTGGCAGAACATATGCCCTGCTTTGCTTACAGAGCTGATGTTTACCTGCCTTTCGGAAGGAGATGGCGATTTCTGCGTGATTGGGCTATCTTATATGGTGCCAGTGGGAAATGTAACTCATATTTAAAATAATATAATCTGTATTAGAAATTCATAGAAACGTTAAAAACCTTTTAAAGCGAGAGACAAACATTATTCAAATGTCAACTCCTATTATACTACTGGAGTTAACGTTTTATGATTCTTCCACAGTTTTTAGCCAAGTTTAAAACAAGTTATTTATTATGGACCTCATATGCATAAATATACTGTGTCCTAAAATAGCATGGCAGTTAGAGGTCATATGGTTGGGACAGGCCATGGCTAGCACCAGTAAGGACGTTAACTGTGGGATGAACATGCAGAACTGCAGGGAAAGCTCACTGCAAGGAGTACTCAAGGTCAAAGTAAAAAATAAGATGAACTAAAGCAGTATTTTTATTTACTCAGGAATGCTTTTAAGTAGTGTCTTAAGATAGGATGTTTAATCAAAAGTACTGTACAAACAAATCCAGTACAAGTGTTTGATTATAAAACAAGGCAATATAAATAAAACAGCCTCAGCCCACTGATCAGCATTTTCTTTCTTGATCTTCACCTCCACAGCACAGCAAGTTGTAGCAGTAAAGAGTGCTTTAATTTTAATAGTCCTGCAAAGACCAGAGGCAGGTATGACAGAAGCACACAGTTCTCACACCTGAGATCAAGTTCACCTAATCCTTTGGTCAAGCCACCCACAAAACATGGTTAAAATAAAAAACAACAACAACAACAAAACACACAAAACCAAAACAACACAAAACCTATGACCACCATCAAGAAACCAGTTGCTACTTTTTAGTTGGAACCCAAATTTCCTTTTGTTAAAACACGGAAATTCTTGAACAGAGTTTTCTTTCCTGATGCACATGAAGAGAACAATGGAGTAAAATAAAGCAAATATTCCAGTTGCTTTATAGACTATAACTTAACTCACTTAAAAACGTTTAACAACATTTTATTTAATTTAACCAGGAACTCAATGGATTAAGAAAGTTTATGCAATTCAATCGGATTTAAAATCCAATAGATTAGAAGCGTTTAATCACAGAATAATGTGCCAAGACATGGCTTGGCAAATAGGTGTACCAAGGTGGAGCTCAGCTTCTTTCAGCTGCCAAATCAGGCTATTATCTTAGACATCAAACAGCCAGAGAAGGTAATCACTTCAAAATTGCCTGTTCCACAGGAAAATTTCTGTTCTGGCACTTGGTCAGACAAAATTAAATTCTGCTTGGAAACGGCACTTAGTATTTGGCATCTCTAGTCTCTGGTGATTAATCATATGGATAAGAAACACAGTGACTGCTGTTTAAAGCAATACTGTATCTAAAGATGCCTCTTCATTTGCAAATAACCTACAAATTTGACATTTGGAGACTACTTGGCAAGTTAGTCAACTTCAACATAACATATGGACACAAGACAAAACCAGAAAACAGTAAATATTTATTACTGTCCTTCAGTTAAAATAAATCCAAATAGCTCATAAACACCTTTCTGTCATCTGATATTTCTGTTGCTTTCATGGCTAGAAAAAGAAACCATTTTTCACAGTTGCAAGGGACCACTTCTCATATGAAATCAAAACATTCTTAAAAACAGCAACACTATTTAACCATGTGAAATTTTGTTGGACTTGACTGTAGTATGTGTAATCAGCTAGAAAAATGCATACATTTATATTCTTCGTTATACAGATGCTTACAGAACTAAAGTCCGTTCCTCCGCTGGGTTATATGACTCTAGATGAGACTTTTGTCAGTAGCGAAAGGGGCGGGTAAGGAGAAAGGAGCAGGGAGAAAGGCAACAGCAGCATAAATTGTGGCTGCATGCACATCTGTGCAGGGCAGGAAAGCAGCAGGGCTGGCTGTGGCTTCACTGCTGGGAGTGTACAAGGGCACACAACTGCGAGTGCGGTGATACACCCAAACCACGGACAAACCAGGGAGAACTTAGCAGGGACAGAGCACGCCAAGTCTGGAAGGGTTACATATAA